GGGCCAGCGGGTCACGGTCATGCGCAGCCACTGCCACCCGCCCGACGTGGAGGGCCTGGAGGCCCGGCGGCGGCAGGAGAGGGCGGGCCCCAACGGCCTCGGGGCCCCCGAGGACAAGCCGCTGCCAGCTGTGGACAGTCCGCTGTGCCGCAGGGGCCCGGGCCCTCTGGCGCTCTCCAGGCGTCGGCCCAGGAAGCGAGCCAAGCCCGACGAGCAGGAGCTCGTGGAGCCCCACGCCCCGCCGGACCCGGAGGCTGACCCCGGTGAGTCCGCCCCCTGCAGCCCCTCGGGCCCAGGGCAGGTGCGGGGCTGGGAGGATCAGGCCTGATGCCCTCCCTGTCCACAGGAGGCCCCGAGTTCCTGAGGACCCCGCTCGGGGGCAGCTTCCTGGTGCACGACTCGTTCCTCTACAGGCGGGAGAAGGCGGCCGGCGAGAAGGTGTACTGGACGTGCCGGGACCAGGCCCGCATGGGCTGCCGCAGCCGCGCCATCACCCAGGGCCAGCGCGTCACGGTCATGCGTGGGCACTGCCACCCGCCCGACCTGGCTGGCCTCGAGGCCCTGCGGCAGCGGGAGAAGCGACCCGGCCCGGCGCAGCGGGAGAACCCAGGTGCTGGGGGCAGGGGGGCAGGCAGGAGACCCCCACCCCCACCTTCCTCTCTTGACCTCGTCCTCCTGTGAATGTTCTAGAAGGGTTACAGTCCGGTCCCTGCTCAGCCCAGCCTGGGTCAACCCTGCCCCCCTCCCGTTTGCAGAGGAAGACAGTGGTGACTGTTAGCAGGGGGCGCAGCTCCTGGGGCCAGCCTGCCCTTCCCCCTCCCGGATCCCTGCCCTGGCCACGCAGGGGCCCCTGACCAAGTCCCTGCCTGGCCTGTGGGTTTTCAAGCCCCCAAGGTGCCGGCACGCCCTGGTCTGCTTTCTCTGGATTTCTCTTCCCTCTGGCTGGCGCCAGCACCCGTCTCATCCTCCAGGCCCCCCGTCCGTGTCCCTGGTGCCTAGGCCACTTGCTGCCCCGAGGTCCGTCAGCTCGTCAGCTCCGGGCAGCTGCTCCCTGCCCCAGCCTGCTCTCGGCAGGGCCTGGCGCAGCCCCTTCCTGCTCTCCGGCCCTCCACGCCTGCTTGTGCTGGGGGCAGCCCTGCCTCCGGTTTCCCCAAGCCACAGTCCCGGGGGGTGACACTTGCGAGACACCCTGGACACAGAGCTGTTTGCTGAGCAGGGGTGGCTTTGCTTGGCCTCCCCGGGGCTGGCCGCGCTCTCTGAGCACCTGTGCCCCCTGCCCCGTGCGCTGCTGTGGTCCCTTAGGGCCGTCTGGGTCAGGTGTGAGGGCGCTGGAACATCCAGGGTCGCAGGGCTCACTTCCCTTGGCCTGGTGTCCCCACCCCTGTCCCCAGGCTGTCACTGTGCAGGGCGAGCTTGATCCCCTGGCTTCTGCCCCCATAGGCACGGCCTCTGCGTGGAGGGACTGGAGTCCCCTGGGCAGACGGCCACGCCCGTCCCAGCTCCTTCCCCCGGAGGGCCCCCAAGGCCACGTCGCTTGCTGCTCACGGCCCCCTCTTTAGCTCCCAGGTCGCGCTGTCCGGCCTGCCGGCAGCGGGCGGGTTCTGGGGCTCCAGGGAGTGAGGGCCTTCCCTGGAGCCGCGCTCCGGACTCAGCAGAGCAGGGACCCCGCTGCCCCACTCCCCGGCCTCCTCACTCCCTCTCGTGTCCACAGGAGGCCCCGAGTTCCTGAGGACCCCGCTCGGGGGCAGCTTCCTGGTGCACGACTCGTTCCTCTACAGGCGGGAGAAGGCGGCCGGTGAGAAGGTGTACTGGACGTGCCGGGACCAGGCCCGCATGGGCTGCCGCAGCCGCGCCATCACCCAGGGCCAGCGCGTCATGGTCATGCGCAGGCACTGCCACCCGCCCGACCTGGCCGGCCTCGAGGCCCTGCGGCAGCGGGAGAATCTCCCCAACCTGACGCACTGGGAAGGCCCAGGTGAGGGCAGCCGCGCGCCGCGGTGCTCTGGTCCACGCTGTGCCTGGCTCCCTGCACGCAGGCTCGGGAGGGGACGGTGCCCCGGGTCTCCCTCAGGGCGGTGTCTCCGTGCCAGCTCTGGCTGACGGTTGGTGAGCTGACCGCCCCCCCCCCCCCAGTTCTGCTCTGGGATAGCAGAGGGCCCAGTTAGTTGCCGGCTGGCATCGGGGTGGGCAGGGAGCCAGGAGGCCCCAGTGCGTGGGTGCGGTCTGCCACAGGCCTCACAGGAGGGCCCAGCCCTCAAGTCCAGCATTGGAGTGGCCAGGGGAGGCCTCCAAGGAGCATGGGGCTCGAGAGGCCGCAGGGGCCAGGCTCCCCAGACGGCGTGCAGCCCGCACGTGGTCTCAGGCCTGAGCTGGCCAGGGCTGCAGGGGGCGCGGGGGTCAGAGTGGGTCCTGCTGGGGCACAGCTCCCCCGGCCCGGCCTCTGGCACCCACCCGCTGGTCACTTCCCCCCTCAGAGCCCACGGAGCCCCTGGAGTTCCTGCGGACGTCGCTCGGGGGCAGGTTCCTGGTGCACGAGTCGTTCCTGTACAGGAAGGAGAAGGCGGCCGGCGGGAAGGTGTACTGGATGTGCCGGGACCAAGGCCGCACCGGCTGCCGCAGCCGCGCCATCACCCAGGGCCAGCGCGTCATGGTCATGCGCAGCCACTGCCACCCGCCCGACCTGGCCGGCCTCGAGGTCCTGCGGCAGCGGGAGCGGCTGCCCGGCCGGGCCCCGCAGCGAGAGCCAGGTACCCGGGGCGCTGTGGGCTCCAGGCCCTGCAGGCACAGGGGAACTCGACTTCAGCTCCAAAAGGGTTATTCCCGGGCGTGAGAAAGCCGCTGTCTGCTGGGGTGGGCAGGGGAGGGGCCCATGGATGTTGGGAAGCCCGATCCCAGCCCTGCCCGCTCCCAGCCTCGCGGCCTGGTTCCCTGAGTTCTTCCTTGCTGTGAGGGGCCGCGCGCTTCAAGCAGAGCGACGCTGACGCGCGCTTCCCCGTCCTCAGAGAAGACACAGCTCCTGCCCGACGTCCAGCTGTGCTTGGAGACCGCCTCGGCCGAAGGCCAGCAGAGCGACGGGTAACGGACGGGTTCTCTGTGCCGCCTCCTGCGGTTCCGGAGAAGGCGTCGGGTCGCCGAATGCTGGGGTGGGGTGGGGTGGGGTGGGGTGGCACGCCCTTTCACTGTGTGGATGCAGGCCGCTGAGCATCTCCCTTCCCTGAGGTGAGCAACCCCAGAGCAGGGCAGAGGGCAGCTGCCGCCTGCCGCCGCACACAGGGAGCGGAGGCCGTGGCGGGACGGGGGGCACAAGGGGGACTCACGCCCAGGGGCCTGAGAGCTGGCATCAAGTCCCGCCTCCACTCTGAAGATTTCTCAGGGAGAGAGACCTTCCGTCTGCTGGTTCACTCCCCGAAGGGCTGGGCCAGGCCAAAGCCAGGAGCCAGCAGCTTCCTCCGGGGCTCCCAGGTGGGTGCAGGGGCCAAGGACTTGGCCATCTCCTGCTGCTTTCCCAGGCCCCAGCAGAGAGCTGGATCGGAAGTGGAGCAGCCGGGACTCGAACCGGCACCCATGTGGGATGCTGCTATCTCAGGCCCCCGCCCTCTGCTTCTGACCCAGCTTCCTGCTAAGAAGCCAAGAGGCGGTAGTGCTGGCCAAGTTCGTGGGTGCCAGCACCCACGGGGGAGGCGGGACTGTGTTTCCTTGTGGCTCTGGGCCGGCCCCGCCCGGACGTTGCAGGCACTTGGGGAGTGAACCAGAGTCAGAAGACCGCTGTGTCATTCTGCCTTTAAAATAAATGAATTTCAAACAAACTAATGAAATCCTTTTAAATGAATGAAAATGGAGACCACATCCGGGATGTAGGGAGGGGACAGATCTCAGACCAGGGGAGGCGCCCGCAGAAATAGCTCCCACCTAAGGCAAGGAGAGGGAAGGAGAAAGCGAGCCGCAGGCCCTTGGGGAGGGTGAACAGACTGACCGAGCCCAAGCACCGAGCAGACGAATGAAGGACATGTGTCAGTCACCGCAGACTCCCAGAGAGGTAAGGGGCCGCAGGGGTTGCTGGGAAAGATGGGGCGGGCACGCAGAGGCGTGGGCACTGGCAGGCAGCAGAGGAGACGCGAGCCTGGCCAGACAGAAGCCACTGTGCCTGGGGTAAAACAGCAGTGCCCGTGCTGCAGCGAGGGAGTTGAGCCACCTCCTGTGACGCCAGCCCCACGCGGGTGCCGGTTTGAGTCCCAGCTGCGCTGCACCACTCAGGCCCCTATAAGGGAGGAGGGCCCCTGCACCCACGTGGGAGACCTGGATCGATTCCAGGCTGCTGCTCCCACCTGACCCAGCTCTGCCTCCTGGAGGAATTTGAAGAGTGAACCAGCAGATGAAGATCTCTGTCTCTCTAACTCTGCCTTTCAAATAGGTAATTTTCTAAAAAAATTCTATTTCTAGATTTATGTATTTATTTGGAAGGCAGAGAGAGAGAGAAAGGTCTTGCATCATCCACTGGTTCACTCCCCAGGTGGCTGTAACGGCCAGAGCTGCACTGATCTGAAACCAGGGGCTTCCTCTGGGTCTCCCACGGGGGTGCAGGGGCCGTCTTCTGCTGTTTTCCAGACCATAGCAGAGAGCTGGATCAGAAGTGGGGCAGCGCTGTGGCTCACTTGGTTACTCCTCTGCCTGCGGTGCCGGCATCCCATATGGGCGCCGGATTCTGTCCCGGTAGCTCCTCTTCCAATCCAGCTCTCTGCTGTGGCCCAGGAGGCCAGTGGAGGATGGCCCAAGTCCTTAGGCCCTGCACCCACATGGGAGATCAGGAGGAAGCACCTGGCTCCTGCCATGGCGGCCATTTGGGGAGTGAACCAATGGAAGGAAGACCTTTCTCTGTCTGTAACTCTACCTGTTTAAAAAAAAAAAAAATAGTGGGGCAGCCAGGACTGGAACCAGCATCCATATGGGGTGCCGGCACTTTAGGTGGTGGCTTTACCTGCTGTGCTACAGCTCCGGTCCTCATATAGGTAATTTTTCAAAAAATAGAAAATCCAAATTGACCCAGAGAACTAGAGATCCACTTAGTCATCTTAAAAGTAGCCAAGAGGCCAGCTCCACGCCAGCCTGCAGTGACTTCTACGAGACGTTTGGGAGACATTAACACCGACACTGCAGAGGCCTCCCACAGAGAGGAGGGCAGAGGTTGCCCCCTCAACTCCACACGGCCAGTACGAGGCCCACAGAAGCCAGAACCCTCAGCAGAACCCCAGCAGAGAGCCTGGCACCCAGCAGGCCTGGCAGCATGGTGCACCTCCTGCCAGCACCCGGCCTGGGGACTCCGACACTGCCCCACGGGGACACCCAGCGCTCGCCCTCGTCAGCCCTGTTCACCTGCGCTGAGCACCTGGGTGTCTGGGGTTTCAGCCACTGCAGCCGCTCACCCCAGTGCCTGCCCTGGACGCCCCAGCTCAGGCAGGGTCCCCGGGAGCAGCTCCTCCGGCCAACAGCCAGTACTGGAGGACAGCACCCGCACTGTTGGCCAGGCCAAGGCCCTGGGGCCACACTGGCTTCCGTAAGGCCCTGGCCCACCGCCTCCTGCCTCTGCTCTCGTCTTCACCGAGATGCACCTGAGATATAGGTGTGACCGTGGGCTACGTGCTGAGACTCCTTCCAGCCTAGGGGAGGACCAGGGGACGCCAGCACATCGGGGCTGCGGAGCATAGAACCCACGACCGCTGTGGACACAGCGCAGGCCGCAGCTGGCAGCCGGCGCACTATGCACTGAGCCCGGGGAAGGAGGGGCTCCTGTACCGGCAGGAAGCGCCTGAGCCCAGCGCTGCCGTCACAGCTGCCAGTGAGAGGCCAGGCCAGGAGGAGGAGCTGGGGCCACCGGGACGGGAAAAGAGGAAGCGCCCGTCCCCACAGGTGGCCTCTCACACGCCGGGGTGGTCACGCTCAACGACCCACGGAGTCCACTGCAGACCTCCCAGCACCAGAGCGGGGTGGCTGCTGGGTGCAGCGGCCAGGCTGGGCGTGGGGGGCCTGTGTCCTGCCGCCCTGCACTGCCAGCTCGGCTCCTCTGCAGTGCCTGGGAGGCGGCCGATGTTGACAAGGGACCTGGGCTCCTGCCACGCACGTGGGACCCGCATGGGTGCCTGGCCCCTGCCTGCCAGGCCAACACTGCTGTAGGCCCTGGGGAGTGACCCTGACGGATTTCTCCCTCCTTCCCACTCGCTGTGCCTTTCAAATAAGGAAGCAAGTAAACAGGTAAATAAAATCTAGTTTACAAAATAATCAGGTCCGGTGCTGCAGCTGAGCACCCGCCTGTGGCGCCAGCCTCCCGTAGGGACGCCGGTTCCAGCCCCCTGCTAAGGCCTGAGAGCACTGGGAGATGGCCAGGTGTTGGGCCTTGCACCCACATGAGACACCCGGAAAACCTCCCAGCTCTGGGCCTCTGGGGAGTGAACCAGTGGATGGAAGACCTCTTTCTTGTCTCTCCCTCTCTATATAACTCTACCTCTCAAACAAAATATTAAAAAATAAATAAATAACCTCATCCAGGTGCGGGGTACAGTATCAAGCACCGAAACCAGCTGCACTTGGGTTCATTCGCAATGAAAATCCCAGGAGTGAAGTCTGGGGGACAGTGAGTGACACTCCGGGGACGGCAGTGACACAGGCACACCTCACCCCCCAACGCACGCGACCAGGTAGAATCTGACACGACAGGCCAGTGGGAACACATCCCGTGGTCATGGATCTGTGTACAAACTCCAGGAGCCCTGAACAGTCAGAACTACAGCGTAACAAGAGCAAAGTCGACAACTCACACTCGGTGTCAAAACTTCCCACCGGCTGGCGCTGTGGTGTCGCAGGTCAAGCCACCGCCTGTGACCCGGACATCCCATCCAGATGCCGGTTCAAGTCCCGGCTGCTCCACTTCTCATCCAGCTCCCTGCGAGTGCACTTGGGAAAGCAGCGGAAGACGGCCTGAGGACTTGGGCTGCACCCTCGTGGGAGACCCGGATGGAGCTCCTGGCTTTGACGTGGCTGCGAGGGCCATTTGCGGAGTGAACCAGTGGATGGACGTTCTCCGTCTCTATCACTCTGCCTTCAAATAAACATGTTTCTTTCAAAACAAAAACCGCCATAAAGCGTCAGTACTAGACAGCATGGTACTGCCCAGGGACCAGCATGCACCGGAATCGGAGTACTTCCGCCCCTGATGGACAGGACAAGGGGAGGGAGGAGCGATGGGTGCACCGCACAGGGCACCCCCGGGGCCCTCCTCACACAGAACACAGCAGCCACCTCTGCTCTACCACGGGGAGCTTGAGTTCCGAAACCCATTTTCAAGACAGGAGTACATCTTCACTCCTGAGTCAGCCAGGGATTCGGACAGGACACCGGCGGCACAAGCCCCCAGTCCGAGGGAAATCTGACCTCGTCACAGGGGGCGCCACACTTGCCCTGCGCCATCGGGGCCAAAAGGGCGACCTGAGACAGGACACCTGCCCATCGCCACCTGACCGGGACTCTCGGCGCACAGTGAGAGAGAGAGAGAGAAAGGTCTTCCTTTGCCGTTGGTTCACCCTCCAGTGGCCGCCGCGGCCGGTGCACTGTGACCGGCGCACCGCGCTGATCCGATGGCAGGAGCCAGGTACTTCTCCTGGTCTCCCATGGGGTGCAGGGCCCAAGCACCTGGGCCATCCTCCACTGCACTCCCGGGCCACAGCAGAGAGCTGGTCTGGAAGAGGGGCAACCGGGACAGAATCTGGCGCCCCGACCGGGATTAGAACCCAGGGTGCCAGTGCCGCAAGGTGGAGGATTAGCCCAGTGAGCCGTGGCGCCAGCCGACAAATGATTCTTTCAAAGATTTGTTTTATTTATTTTAAAGACAGAGTCTTCTATCTGCTGGTTCACGCCCCAAATGGCCACATGGCCAGGGCTGGGCCAGGCTGAAGGCAGGAGGTTTATCCAGGTCTCCCAGGTGGGTGCAGAGCCCTGAGCACCGGCGCTGTCCTCCGCTGCCGTGACAGCCACAGCCGGGAGCTGCGTGGGGCGCAGAGCGGCCAGATGGAGGCTGGGGTCCCGGGTGGAGTTTAATCTGCCCCGCCACCGCCGGCCTCAACGCTCTGTTTTGGTAAAGAGAAGAGCTTGAGAGAAAATGGCAAAAAAAAAAAGTCACAGTGACTCTAACTGGTTCCCCCCGCGGTCACCTCCTCACGCTGCCCGTCAGCGGGCAGCCACCCACGAGGCCACCGTGGGGGCAGGAGCGTCAGGGCCCCCTGCGGTGAGGACACAGCGTCGCTGCCAGCCCAGCCCAGCACAGCAGAAGCCGGGGAGCCCGCGCCAGAGCTGGATCTCACGGCTGGCTGTTTCCCCAGAGCGCGCTCCACGCCTGCGGGGGGCGCCTCCGGGACGCGCGTGCCAGCGGCTGGCCGAGCTCGTGTCCAGGCCGGGGGACCCCACCTGGCTGAACCGGCCAGTGATCGCTGTGTCTTTCTAACCAGGAGCACCAGCGACCCACAGCCCGACGGCGAGTCCCAGTGAGGCCCCTCCCGGCACCCGCAGCCTGCGCACCGCCAGCCAGGGCTCTCGGCAGGGCGGGGCAGGTGGCCTGCACACCTGAGCGAGTGGCAGCTCCGAAGCAGCACCGTGTGCAGACGCCTCGCCCGGGGTCCTCCCAGCAGGGGCGGCCTGCTTCCCCTCAGCCAACTCGGTGCAGAGGCCGCTGAGCCACCCCAGAGCCCAGTGCGCGCCACGCCAGAGACCGCCACGCTGCACTCGAACGACACAGACCATCCCATTCTGCGCTACGGACCCCTGCGCAGCTCGCCAGAGACCACCACCCACCACACGGCGACCACACCACAGACCATTCCACTGCGCTACAGACCCCTGCACACCGCACCAGACTCCCCACAGGAGCCCAGGGGCCTCCCGGGCGACGCTCCTGCGCCAGGCTGCAGCCAGCCCCATCCATAATGGCCCAGCCCAGTCAGCAGCGGCCCCACCACGCCCTCTGGGTGCTGCCCTGCCTGCGCCCTGCTCCTGGCTCTGCCTGTGACCGCATCCCCCGCCAGGTGGCGCTGCCGCGGGGCCTGAGCACAGCCGTGGACGGGACTCTGCCTGTGATCGGATCCCCGCCAGGTGGCGCTGCAGGGGCCTGAGCACAGCCGTGGACAGGACTCTGCCTGTGACCGGATCCCCGCCAGGTGGCGCTGCAGCGGGGGCCTGAGCGCAGCTGTGGGCAGGACTCTGCCTGTGACCGGGTTCCCCGCCAGGTGGCGCTGCCGCGGGGGCCTGAGCACAGCCGTGGACGGGACTCTGCCTGTGATCGGATCCCCGCCAGGTGGCGCTGCAGGGACCTGAGCACAGCCGTGGACAGGACTCTGCCTGTGACCGCATCCCCCGCCAGGTGGCGCTGCAGGGGCCTGAGCACAGCCGTGGACAGGACTCTGCCTGTGACCGGGTTCCCCGCCAGGTGGCGCTGCCGCGGGGGCCTGAGCACAGCCGTGGACGGGACTCTGCCTGTGATC